AAAGGTTAACAATGGTCGACGCAAACAATACGCCCTTTTTAATTCTTAACCCGTTTTTTAAGCAAATATCAAAGCATGCTGGGGTCTAATTAACCCTAGGTCGCCTAGATTGCCACAGGCTAATAGGGTTGCGCACTTGGGTACAGTTTATAATGTTTGGTTTATGTAAATAAGAATTTTATGTTGTAAGTTAGAAAATAGCCTTTAAATATGTTTGACTTGATTTCGGTATTACAAGTTCAGCTTCTAGATGCTAATGTGGTAATTTGATAGTGCCGTAGCTTGGGGCTTTAGAGCTGTTAAAAAAACACTAAGGGTAGAACTAGGGGCACGGTCAAAGGTCTGAAAATGCGGCCGAAAGTTTACTTTAAAAACATATTTGTCTATGGTAATTTCTATACAAAATGAAAATTGTGCTATGTTTTAAATGATGCTAGAAGCATTGAGAAACAGACCCTAGCTTATTAAATAGAATAAACACTATGAATTATTCTTTAGAATGCAGAGTGCGTGCCCTCCGGCCCTCGGTCGGAGCCTCTTTGACAGATAACATTATATTATTAAATAAACCGTAATCATTGCGCATAACTAGCTTTTTGTTGCAAACTCCGTCTGAATAGAATGCGGAAAATAATTGTGAGGACTCGGGTTATAATGATAATTGGCTACTGCATTTGAATCAAGCTAGGTGGCTAGGTTGTGAATTCATTTGTAAGGTCTAAGTTGGCTTTATGTTTCTAGGCCATCCCAGATTGTTAAAATCTAAATTTGAATTCTGACGTATAAAAGGCCAGATAAATCGAAATCGTGCATTTAGAATGCATGTCAATTAGACCCGAAAATCAACAACACGGCCGTCATAGAGGGCTGATCGCCTACTTAATCTACCAGTTAAGAATCTGTTATTTTAACCCACCAAGAGATGGCGTTGTGTTCCATACATTTAATGAGTGGACAATTTTTGAGATGTCAATAAGGTTCGTTACGACATTGTTAAATACGATAGGTAAGTTGCACGGATCATTTATACGAGTTTGATTTTTAATTTTATACACTACATTAAAACAGAACTAGTAGTACTTGCAGTACTACTTGATTATTATTATATACTACAATATTTAGGGAGCGTTCAAGTATTACGTAACGTGTTTTTATATCCTTCTGTAAAACGTTACGATGCGGGGCGGGGATTGAATGACGCGTTATTGTTAATATTATTTTCGACTTACACCACATAATAGTAACTAAAGAGACACAAGGTGGTCACGAAACGTTTTACTATACTTGAGTACAGTACTGTACTAGGGTATTGAAAAACGTTACAGCGAGTTACATGGGGTCAATAATCGCCAAAAATTGCGTTACGTAATACTTGAACGCTCCCTTAGTAAATAATTAGAAATAATATATAAAACGAATTAATTGAAGTTATGTATGTGTAACAAACCGAGTGTATAATATAAAGCGGTCTACACACCAAAGCCGCTGACCCGGCGGCACGAATCAGAATTTCCAAGCCGAACGACTTTGCCGGCGGCATGTGGTGTTCTAGTAATTGCCACTACTCTATGAAAGCCGGCGGGCAACTGTGAGTGAGTGGAGAGGGATGCCGTCGGCATCGGCATGCTGCCCCGCAACTTGACGCGCGGGCGCAAGCCGGCGGCATGATTGTATAAAATAAGGCCGGCGCTTTGGGCCGGCGATCCGTGCCACCGGGTCAGCGGCTTTGGTGTGTAGACCGCTTTATACTTAATTTATAAAAATTTAACTTAATATTATATTATATTATTAAACTTAATATTAATAATTTAAACATACCTACCGTGGTATTTGATAAATACGTGTTTAGTGGCTTGTGTGAGCCTATTAACCCTGAGATCGTGCCAACCACTAGGTTACTGTGCACCAAAGGATTTTTCTTTCCAAATGCGCATTAAATACTTATACCACGAAGGAAAACATCGTGAGGAAACCGACATGCCTTAGGCCAGTCGTCGGCGTGTGTCAGATAAAGAAACTGATCCCGTAGAATTAAAAAAAATTATTACGAAACATACAGAAGCCTGAGTTTTTAATATTTACCATCCTTACCTCTTATTATGTCTTTTCTAAGCCTTATAAAAGCCTTTATTGCTGTAATTACTTATATTAGTACATAAAATGTGAAGTACTAATAAATTTACACTAAAAATAAAAAATAAACACTAATAATTAATCGCCAAGCCGGTTAATTTATGTTATACAGCTTGACGTAGGCCTCCTCTAAGAGCTTCCACTCTTCTCTGTTTCTAGCTTTACGTAGCCACATAGGGCTCTTCGCACATCATCTTCCCATCTTTTTATTTGTCTTTCTCGTTTTCTTTTGTCATAGCGGGGAAGCTATTCCGTCGCTTTCTTCGCCCATTTCTCTATCTTCTAACATAATGTGTCCTGTCCATTTCAATTTTTTACTAGAAGTAACAGCATTTCTAAACTAATATTAACCAATAATAAATAATAGTGTTTTGTATATCTTATCCAAATGTTTCAGATATTCGTATATCTGTCCTCAGTCCGCAAGCTGAATGAAATTTCAGTAATTCGGTAAAGCGAATGCAAGGTACAGGACCCCGCGGGATCTTCTTACAATCCGTGCTTTGTTTTGAAGTCTATTCCAGTAGAAACGACCAGTATCCCAAGACACCTCACGTAGCTATTGCGACACCAATGAACCGAATATTGGACGAAACTCGGAGCTCAACTTAAATGGATTTTGTGTAATGCATGATCTTTATAAAAGGCATGTGTTGCTTGATTGAATATAATATTAATGTATTTTAATTTGGTGAAACTCAGCTTTAGAAACTAATCTTTTATACCATTATAAATATAGATATATAAACATCAGTTTATATTAGATTGAAATATGTTTTAACCACACGTTTTTTTTAAATTAACTATCAACACGCAATATAATCGAATATAATTTTATTTATAAGTTATTTTATGGATAATATTGGATGCATTTTGCTCACTTTACAAGTCCAACTTCAGGGAAAGTTTAGTGAACTGTCAAACGCAAACGAATACTAAACAACATTTAGAACTGTCGGTAGTCGAAAACCTGTCTTCCCTCGGGGGTTAAACTCTCTCTCTCTAAATCAGAGACTGTGTTGGAGTGATACCCTTTCATAAAAAATAAATCAATTTAATTACACCGATTTAGCTGAAGTTCTCAATTGTGTCTTTTTATCGGAGCGTAAACATACGTAAACAATTCTATACACACAGACGAAACAGTGCTTCAGTTTATAGAGTGCAATAAGACTTACGGTTTTTATGAAGAAGGGAGTTAATCTTTTTCTCTATATTTTTCTATAGGATATTCGCTTCGGCGGCTACTTGTATCTTGACTTTTTAACTATGTGTGTAAGTTGATAAGTACGTGGAGGTGATGGAAACTTGGGGAAGCGGACCGTGGTTGGTAACATAGCAGCAATTCGCATGGCTATTCACCAAACATATCCACCGATCAAGTGAAAGACTGATCATGCTCAAAACTGAACACTGTAATAAGAGAGGTTCAGGACAGAAACCGGTGGAACCAGACAGTCCACTCCAGATGTTTCTCGCTGACCACGACGGTCAGACCTGAAGTACCGACCGAAGAGAGAGAGGGAACTTGGTTAGACGTTTTCGTGTTAAAATGTTTTAGTAGAACAATATTTTTCGAATGTGTTTCTGTGCTCTTTTTAACTTATATCGCTTCTTTGCTACCATCTCTACTAGCTGATCGTTGATAAGACAATGTATTGCTGGGTATGAAACCCAGCCCTCTAGAATACGTAAGCCACTAAGCCACGGCACTATAAGTAATAATAATAATAATTAAGCCTAATTAATTCCTTGAAACATTTGTCGTTCGTCGTTTCACAATTGATCGTTTTTTTGGGTAGTTTTTGTCGATGTATTTCCGAACCAATTTGACTTAAAAAAAAGAGCGTATCAATTCTGAAAGGCCGGCAATGCACTTGCGAGCCCTCTGGTAACATCAGGTACATTTAGAAAATAAACATATTTACAAAAGGTACACACACTTAAAATTGTATACAAAATTAATTGTATTTTTTTTTAAGGATCTCTTATAGAATCTTTTCCAACTGGCTCTTCTCTGGCACTATATATCTCTATCAAATATCAAACTTTATGAAATAAGCGACTAGTTTTCACAGCTGGTTGTACAAACTAATACTAGCAAAACGATTAAAGTGAGTTACAGTGATTATAGTTATATACAACCGTGTGGTCACGTACAAGTATAATGCGACTAGACTGCACCGACTCGCAGATTTATTGTTTATTGTATTGCTTCATATTCTGCTTATTGAGTCTAGTATTGACTATAACAACTATTCAACATATGTGGTTATAAGGCTGCGTCCCCAGTAGGCAAACAGTTAGCGGCTGACTGAGTGAGCCGCAAATTTGCAGCGTACCTACTGAAATTTGAGTTAGCTGCAGACTCAAATCAATTTTCGTGCGTCGCAAGCAAACTGTTAAGAGTTAGCCGCTTATTTAGTGGGAGTCGGCCGCTCACTAAGATAGTCGGCGCGCGTAACGCTGCAAACTGCGTACAGTGAGCGCAAAACTAGCAAACTGTGAACACTCCATTTGAAATATATGGAAGGGCGTACTAAACCGATACGCCGCTAACTCAGTCGGCGGCTAACAGTTTGCCTACTGGGGACGCAGCCTAAATGGTTGTTAAACAGCTTTTATTATAACTATTCAACATAATTAGGTATTAAGTAAAGCTAGTAGTTTTGATTATTTGTTCATTTAAGGCTTAAATTATTTATATGTGTAGTGCGGTGCGCCTCTCCAGGCACTTGGTTCTTGGAAATTGTTATTTTGTCGTACTGGCACTGTGTACACTTTCACCTCAAATATCTCTTCTTTGGTTGCGAATGCCAAATTAATTTTTTTTCTTTGCGTCACTCTATTTATAATATCTTAACCTATTAGTGTACTTGACTTATTGTATGTCCCCATACATGAGTCCCATCAGCCTCCATCGCGTTCGGTCTGGAGCTCATTTTACCAAGTCTTTCTTGTGTATGTCTATCCAGTTCCACTTGTGTCGCTTCATCGGCTTGTCGGGGTTTCTCGGGCTCCCAGAATAGCTCTTTGGAGATGTTCTCGGGCTAGTAGATACAGAACACGCCGGATGTCGTTATCTATCTTTCACACCCATATAGCAGACTTGACGTTAGAGCCGAATAGCTTTAAATATACATACATACTTTGTGTATGGCTGTAAGAAATTTATTATGTATATTGTACCCCTTACCTTGGACTACGCTGGGAAATTAATTATGTTTAAAATAAAATAAAAATTGTAAATTCCAACCATATTAAATTGCAGAATTGAACCTTTAGTCTAAAATTATGAAAATTAAATTTAATCAACGTTTAGCTTACACAAATGATTGAACGGTTCATTTCACAAACGATATTCCAAATTAAATTAACCCACAATTAATTAAATAACTCTGTCAGCATTACTTTTATCGAGTTATTGCCATAATTCAACCATTGTTTAATCGCTCGAATTCGATTGGATCAGAGCCGCGGGGTTTGCTCTCATCTGAGTAATTCAGTGTTTCCATTTATTTAACGCATTGTATATTTTTATTATACATTCCCTCAACTACAAGAAATATAATAACATAAGTCACCAGAAACTGAATATTTAGCCTTAAAACAGTGATGTTCAATTATAATGAGGACGCAATTATCTTTTCTTATTTTTTTTGACAAAGTCACCATTTAGGTTTAAACACTTTATATATCTTAATATATATAAATTACGCGTCACGATGTTTGTCCGCTATGGACTCCTAAACTACTTAACTGATTTCAATCAAATTAGCACACCGTGTGCAGTTTGATCTAACTTAAAAGATAGGATAGCTTATATCTTAATTTATACCCGCAATATTATTTTATTGCAAATTATTTGTTTATTATTTGACACAATTCTAACAGATGGCGCTGTGTTGAAAGTACTAACGTTTCACATAAGCTATAATTTAAAAGCTAAATTTACCTTGTTTTTAAACCTTCTTGATAAAAAATGTGTACCGCGGCGACAATTTAAATCTACGTCCACCAAAATGTTCCTTTAACCACCGAAATAGGTAGCAAATATACCTAATGTCTGGACAATGCCAGTATTATTTTTTCTTTCCAAAGGGAATATATCGCAGTATCACATTTATTGAAAATTCCAGTACTACAATTTGCAGAATGACTTCGTATTTAATTTAAATCATGAATAGATATTTCAAATACTCAAACGAATTTTACTAGCAGTAAAAACCTAGAGATAGAAGCATATTCGTGATCCCTGAGGTCATGCATTTGAAACCCAGCTGTGGCGCAATCGATATTTTACCCAATGTGGTACACTTGTTCTGTATATAAGAACAACATAATATTGACTTGTAATACGTAAAAATTAACTGTATATCAGACACGGAGAGAGAGGCTGATCTATTATGAGCCGTCTTAGGTCATGTCCTTAGATTGCAGCCCATAAAAGCGTCATTGTCAACTTGTGTGTTTTTCTATTGAATTGTCCATCAGTATTACTGACCATGCTCAATCCTCTCTAGCGAAGACTAAGCAATTTATTTTGATCCATTTCTTCCCATATATCATGATAAAAATCCTTTAATATAAACCGCAGAAATTGTAACTTTGAAAAATATCATCTAAATAAATAATATTTGAGAGGAAATTGGATCGCTCGCGACGACAACGCTACGATATCTAACGCTCAGCAAATCTACTTCGAATTCATTCTTATACGCTTACTCAACACTCAAATCTCGTGAGACATACCACGGAGATTATTCTTGTGATAAAATATGTGGGAGAATAAAATTAAATGGATAAAATTGTTTAAAACAATTCTCGCAAACCAAATTGTCCTTTATTTTGCCGGCACACAACAAACAAATAAACAACAGTGGATCTACAATCCTTTAGGTCTAAGCCTTAGATTTTTATGTACTTGTTTCATAATCCTTTATTTTTCTAATAGGCAAGGTGATTAGCCTTCTGTACCTGACACACACCGTCACCTTTTTGGGTCTAAGTAAAGCCGGTTTTCTCACGATGTTTTTCTTCACCGTTCGAGCAAATGTCAAATGCGCACATAAAAAAAAGTCCATTGGTGCACAGCCGGGGACGAACCATGATCTCCGGAATGAGAGTCACACGCTGAAGCCACTTGGCCACCACTGCGCTCTGTCGGCATACGTTTGACCCAATAAAAGCCTTGACACAATCCTGCCTTACTTTCCCATGCGTTTTCCATAGAATACCCGCGATCTGTATCTGTATAATTCAGTATTGATAGTTATTATTTATTCAAACAGTTATGGATCGGGGATCACAAGCACTTATGAGAGTATTAGTTGAAACATGAATTATTATATCAATACATTAATATGGAATTTAACTTTGTTCATCCATTATTGATATTATCTATGGATAAATAATTGTTTATATATAATTATTGAATCATTTATAAAGCGACATATTATAATAGATTTTTATTATTACTCCTACGGAAACTAATACAAACGGATTTAAAAAAATCAAAATCAATTTTTTTATTTGTTTAGCTATGTACAATAGAATTCAGATTGAGGCCTCCCTAGTAAGTCAGAGACCTGTGACAGATTAACAAAGATTCAACAAAAATAACCAACACAATTGGTTTTAAAACGAGGGTACTGTAAAAGAAGAAAAGAAAAAAATAAATAAATATATGATGAATGTGTGATGATCATGGGAATGTGCAATTGTGTGTGTGTGAAAGACGAAACAAACATAAATGAAGGTGTGCATGAAAAAAATGGATTAAGGAAAAAATTATAATTTAGGATTTAACAATGAATCTGTTTTGTCATAGTTCAGTGTACCGAGCCAATGGTTTAAAGTTCTTTTACATCTGTGGTATGTAAGATTATGCAAGCTAAGGGTTTTATTTAAACTATTGTAGAGAAAGGCTGAGCGATTATTGTATTGATTACGTGCAAAGATAGTCTTGCAATTTGCGTACCTAATTATATCAGGATGAGTCCTTTTTTGGGGTGTGTCGGGACTATGTGGAGAGGTTGCGTGTCTCTTAAGAACACAACGGATAATAATTCAAACCAAATTCTCGCTTCAACGAAAGTGTATGATATTGAATGTGCGTTTATAAGTATTGGTTTTTATAGTCAATTAAGTCATCAGCCATCTGTGAAACTAGCAAACATCGCTGGGAATCAACCGTACTACCAGTATTCCAACGTTTGGCACACTATACATTCGTACATAAAGGGAAAATATTCAAGATTTAATGTGACAAGCACTTATAGGCAAACATAGCAAACACGAAGAGTTCAAAGAACACAGGCGCTTAGGCGGTAAATGACGCCCCGCCCATGGACGCTCACATTGCCAGAAGGCTCACAAGTGCGTTGCCAGCCTTTTAAGAATTAGTACGCTCTTTTCTTGACCGACCCTAATAATAATTAATTAATTCTATTTATAATTCTATGTTTTGTATCATACCTACTTTAATATACATAATGTTTCAGAGAATTAGACCAAACCATGTAATTCGATAGTATATGATAAGCGGCTTATTGAAGATATCATTAAAGTGGTAATCGTATCCGGGGCCCAATTAGCGCAGTAATGGTTCATAATTTAGATAAACAGAGTGGTTACTGCTAGTCTCAGTTTACACTTTGGAATATTATCTAGCTTATTACATGGGCGTACGTACTGTAAATACAATCCCCTGAGGCGAGTCCGAGCACACCTCAATATGATCGATAGATAGTAGCCGATTCTCATTTACTGAATATGCATAGAATATTGGTCGAGCCGTTTCGGAGGAGTATGGGAACGAACATTGTGACACGAGAATTTGTATACCATCTAGATAATACAGATCCATTGTAGTTAGTTACAACTTTAAGACCACTTTAGTACCAAGATCAAGAACACATACAATGAATGTACAGCTTACACTTGTCTCCCAGAGTTGACAAGCACGCACAAACTGCTTAACAATTTGCGAGTGAGTACAGTCATCTATTGCACTAAGGATACCGTACCTCGCAATCTGCGTCAAAGTGATGCCGTTCTTTTTCGGTGGATCGCCCTGAATGATAATTACTATATACATATTAATGATTCACTTCAATATATGACACTTTAAACTTGACCATAGGTTTCTTAATATAACGCCTAGAGACGTGGCAAGCGGCCGGATGCGATGTCGTTGATCCCTTAAAAGATGGGATGGGCTTTGGTATAGGATGCTTCATGGACACGTTTGCCCCGTCTCATCTCCCTCGGACAAGCAAAAAGCTGGGGCGGCCGCAGAGCAGTCGGAAAATATAAGAGTCTTTCCTCCAACTTCGATTTTCTTCCCTTTGGAGTAGAGATTCTTAGGTCGTGGGGTTCAAGTGCACAGGCGCTAAAGCTAATTAGAGGTTTAAGTTGGCGCCTGGTAGATAGTACCGGTGACCCCAGAGCTGGTGTTTTCTGCGCTCAACGAATAAGTATCGCAATACAGCGAGGAAATGCTGCCAGCGTTAACGGTACAATGCCATAGGGAGCAAACTTTTTAAATTTGTTTTAATTTTCTTTTTATTTAGTTTAAATATTACCTACTTAAGTTTAAAAAAAATTTAATACTGTATGTTTGATTGTTATGATTACTAATAAAAACTTTGTGCCGATATAACGCCTTGGAATGGAACAGACTTCTACAAGTTTCTCATTGGTAATTCCCGTCATAATAATTAGTTCGCTGTGATTTCATGTAATTTACTTACTTTTGTTTTGATACATCAGTTATTTTAATAGTTATTAATATCACTATAAAAATAAATCGTAGAGGCTCTGAACCCCGAATTTATTCAGATTTGATCTTAGATTATGGCCTGGACGTTAGTTATCGTTATATTATACGTTCTGGGGACGTAATGTGTGTCCGAGGGAAATATGGCAAATATATGCAGATGTACTGTCACGTAGAAAAGTGGAGATAGGATTTGAATTCAGGATTAACGCAGTATGAAATGCCTTATTTTGTAAAGTAAATTATGATTAAGTTCATTTGTTTTTCTTATTGTGTTGTTACCCAAAAATACAACAATTGTAATATTTTAAAGCGTAGTTGGGATCATAGAAAAATTAAAGGAAAAGTTCGTGCTTTTGAGAAAAAGGCATCAACAACATTATTTTGATTTTCATGAAACTGTTGGCCATTTCTATATTTATAAAAACATTCTCTAATATCTTTCTACCTTTACATAAATTGTAGTAAAATATTTTCTCATTAGTAACAAAAGTCTTACATAACCTATACCTAGATAGCAATAATAAGTGGAAAATAATATAAAGTGGAATTTACTATCGAAAGCACTTTACTTTCCGACTGTACTCGGGAAGATAATGCTGGAATATATAAAAATGTAGGAGCGAGGTGCTAAAAGTAGTTAAATCATACCAACTCGATTTATGTGTCTACCTTTCTTAGACACAGCTAAGGTACTGAATTTTATTCTCGCCATTTTGTACTGGGAATGTACACGCTGTTTTGCAGTTATGACAATCTATTGCTAAGAGAAAATGTTTTAAATTATTTATTCTCTGGTTTTTTGGTAAATGTCCGTAGTCCACTTAGTTAATTTTCTTGCAAATAATTTATATAAAACGTCATTAATAAACGCGTATTACAACAAAATATTAATTATTTCGGACTAAACAACATTGTACGAACAGAAAAATGATTTAAATAGAATTCCAAATACAGAACTTTCCTTCAACTTTTTTCCTTAGACAAAATTTTTTTGGCACGTTTATGCAACTACATATTGACACGAGAGTGAAAAAGACAGAAATAAGCTATTAAAGTTTCGTTGTACGTATCGGTACTTTTAATGACGTCACGAAGATATTCAACATATTCTAGATAAAAATTTAAATTGGACTTTGAGCACGAAACTTGTAAAAAAAACAAAGACGGAACGTGATTTAAACAACTCAAGTTAGTATCTGAGTAGTTCACAAACAATCCTCAGCGCTGAAGCAGGCACGCGATTATCCAACATCGAAGTAGCAAGTGCAGTTTTCTTGAAATATTGTTGTTGTACGCCTGTTATGTTTCCCGTGTACACTTTCTGTTAAATGTGCTTATATCATATAGAGCTGTTGAATGTTGATACACAAAAAATTTAAATCGTAATCGTAAAAATATTCTTGATTTGTTAAACGTACAAAATTATTAAAAGTAAATTAAATATTTTAAAACGTTTTCGTGCTTGAACATTATTGATAAAATATTGAATTTCATAGACCAATAACATTTATCCTAGCCCCAAGTTTTATTAAACAGTTGATAAATGCCAAATTCCGTAGGCGTATAAGATATTTTTGAGACTTCCTCTGATATATATTATAATAATTAATTAATTTAAGTATATCTGGGCTCACTGTGTTTACAGTATAAAAAAATAAAAAAACTGTATGTACAAGAAATGTATGTAATTATAAATTTTTAAGGTTAAATGCAAAAAGTATTCATCTAAGTACCTACATACCTGGGCAAACTGTATCTACAGTATAAAATAAAAAAAGCAGTAAGGGCTGCTATGAAAAATATATGATAATAAAAAGGACTGCATGTTAACCCGAAACCAAATGAAAATAGTTATAAGTTGTATCAACTCTATATAAATTGAATATTAGTCCGTGTTCAGCTAGAAATTAACTCGGTACGCGGCCGCCATTCCGCTAAATTATTCATACGAATTTACTAATACTGCTGCTAACAATTCCCTTCCAACTATACTTCACGAATGCAAAGATAAATTTTTGCCACCGTCATCAAACGTATTTCCACTGAAATTTTCGAACTATTTTGACTCGGTGTTCATTATGAAAAGAGCGTACCCATTCATAAAATTTGCGAACCTTCTGGCAGTGTCCATTGGCGCATGTGTCCGTGTCACTTAACATCAAAACCCCTTGTTCAATGCGAAAAAAATTTGATACGTAATTCCATTCAAAGTCAAATCATTTATTTCAATTAGGCCGGTTCTTACGTATTGTTTGGTTAGCCCTAGAATTTATTTACGCCGCGGAAAGTGGCGTTAATACGTCGACATTTTCTAAATGACGGATTTCTTAACGTTACCAGAATTTTCGCCGCGGTGGCCTATTAAAAAGCCACTAATTAAAGTCAAAATTACTAGTTAAAAATATTTAAAAAATGACTCTAGTAAAAGGTAGTTTCATATGGAGAAGAATGACAAGAAACTCAATAGTCAAAAGGTTTTACAATTAAATTTTACATTGACACGCTATTTTTTCTATATCACTTTGGTGTCTATGACATCGTCAATGTTCAAAGGCTTACGAGTTATACATTTAAAGAAAACTTCTCCCGTTATAAACGCGAATTTATTACATGTATACTCGACGTTTCGAGTGCTTTACAGTACACTTGCTCACGAATTTCATGTTTATATCCGTTAAATTTTATGAATTAACTAGAACTTTTTTTGGTCTGAGCCTCAGATTTCTGTATCTGATTCATGATAGATGCCTAATAGGCAAATGATCTTGTAACTCTAAGGCAAGCCGGTTCCCTCACGATGTTTTCCTTCACCGTTCGAGCGAATGCTAATGCGTACCTAGAAAGAAAGTCCATTGGTACACAGCCGGGGATCGAACCTACGACCTCAGGAATGAGAGTCGCTCGCCGAAGCCACTAGGCCCAACACTGCTCTGGTAAAATTACTCACCTATATATAGTTTTATGTAACTAATTTTAAACGCCTTACCTGCATGCAATTTTACTGGTATCAGACTTCAATTGTTTAAAATTTTGTTTCAATAAACTATAGACGGAATCGCTGCATATTAGCGGGAACCTACAGATAAAGTGTGCATACTGGAGACTGAAAAGTTGAACATTGTTTGGAGCATTATTAGCATTATTTTTCATAGTATAACCTTTCTTCCTTGCATCATCTGATTTGAGAACAATGACCTCTTAAATCGAAATCAGATTCCCAATTCTAACAATTATTAAACACAATTTTAAAGTATTTTTAATTTCTTCAAAGTATAAATGTATTTTATATAAAAACACGTTTAATCTTCTGTTTTAACAAAGCATTAAAAATATATTCTGTGGTAAGATTGAAAACTCTTTTTCTTTTTCCCCACAGTGTTGCCAGCTCGTCCACTCAACGTCGCATATTAGCTAGTAATTAACTCTTCCACGACGTTCATAATTAACTTTTTCGCTAGACTCCAGGGTCTTTTATTAATTCATAATGAGAGCGACGTTTCAAAAGATTTTTAAGTTTTTTATGGAAAATGAATAGTGTCTATGGAACTCATAAGTAGCTTTCAAATGGGGTGGGGAAAATTTTATCGTCCAACACATTTAAATTTTTTAAAGTTTGAATGTTCATTTTTACTTAAGTTTTTCATTTGGGGTTAAATTTTTAATTCATTTTCAAAAGCATACGTATATCAAGAAGATATATTTTACCAGAATATATAATGAACATAGATTATATGAGCAGGTAAAAAACGGATGAACGATTGTTTTTTTTATATACAAGGCAACCATGGATGTATGTCTGTCATGTATGTCTTGTGCATACCTGACGGACCGTAGCAAGTGGAGGTCCGTGGTCCCTTCAATAAAAAGCGTGAAAGTGTTTATAAGTAAAAATAAAATAAAGCCTTAAAGGGAAAGGGACCAAACTTTTTAAATTCGTTTAAAGTTTCTGTTTATCCATTTTTAATTATTATTACTATGTATGTTATTATACCTACTGTTTATTTGTCTCTTAAAAAGAAAGTAGATTATATATTATATTGAACGTAGTCATTTTCCACATGGAAAGAAGAAGAGTTTGACTTTATTTAGCAGTAGTAAATATTCTTTAATTAATATTTTCTTTAAAATATTAAGTTGTAATTGGTTTACGTTAAAGATCAGTTTTATTTTTTTGAAATATTAATGTACTTAATTGACTTAGGCATTCTGTTTCGTATTATTTGTTTAACAATGTTATCTGTTTTCGCTTTGTATATAATTTTATATTTGTATAAGTGTGTTAGTATTTTATTTTATAATATTCATGTATGTATTAT